CAGTGGAATGTCCTCCCACTGATATACTGGGTTTCATTTCAAGGCACTGAAGCATTGTGTTCAGAGACTCTGATGAGAGGAAGTGAAAGCCAGTCCCTTCTTGTGTTTGCTGCAGTGCTTTGTGGCTCCTGAATGGTTCCAAACTATCTTCCTTCAGGAAGCAGGTGTTACTGCTTACGTTTGTTGTCTTGACAACCCTAAAATCATCACTTTTTATTGATGCACTGTTTGGAAGATAAAGAATATATAAAAAAAAAAGGCTGATGTACTCGTGACAGATTCATTTTTTATGCAACAACCAAATCACAGTGTTGGTTCTGTGGTTTCCAGATGAGGTACCAGTGGAACCAGCCAGGATGTGAAACTATATGTGACCATTTGCACCTTTGAGAGCAAGTGTTAGCTAGTATGAGCCTCGATGCAAAATAAGTTTATTGCTGTCCTTGTCTTTAAAAATACTTTTCAAGCACTGTTTAATTACATTAAGATAAACGACGATTCTAAAGAGTTTAGATGTGTATGTTTTTTAATATTTGCATCACGCTGTGTGACGACGGTGAGAGGAGCTGTCCTCGTTGATTGCACACGTTACTACACTCTCAACACTTTCTGTTGCATTGCACCAGGACATGCTGAAGAACACTCCGAGGTCCCACATCGACCGGCTCCCCCTGCAGCTGGCTCTCACCGAGCTGGAGACCCTGGCCGAGAAGCTCAACGAGCAGAAGCGCGTGGCCGATCAGGAGGCCGAGATCCAGCAGCTGGCTCACAATGTGGGGGACCGCGTTCTCAACAAGGTGAAACACCACGCGCTGAAATAGTCGCTGGTTAAACTGACGAGCTACTGTTTTGTGGAGTGAGAATATAGTCAGTCCACTCTCACTATTTCCTCTTGATGTCAGCAGGAAGTACATTTAGTCTCCTACATTAAAGTTCATCCTCTGGGGAGCACGAGTTGTTCATAAAGTGTGTATTTTAAATACATTGCTTGTGTTAAATTGAACTGTTTTGGCTTGACAGGTGAGTAAAGGTCACCAAACTCCTTAGGAATCAGCTCCTGGTCCATTTCATACGTCTTCATGAATCAACACCTGCACACTTTTGTGTTTTATTCTGTCAGCTCATAGTTCAGGATTTACTGTAGTTGGGTTGGAGAAGCTTTGCTATTTAGCTCATTTTCATTCCAGACAATTACTGATTTATATACAGAGCTTAACAAAGTTATTAGACCACCACCCAGTGTCAGGTTTATGCCACAGCTGTCCTAAATTAAAAGCATCATTTGGGGAGTTTCTCTTGTGATTTAAAAAGAGTAAACACAAATGTTCAACAATAAATGGCTTCATCCAACCACTAGCCATGAGTGAAACAAAAGTTTTTCTCTTATCATTCAGATTCTCTGAAAAATGACCAAAAAAACACAAATTCTGCCAGGATATGTAAACTTCAGCACAGCTCTATGTACATGTACAGTGCTTAACAAATCGACAGGTGGTCTCATAAATCTGTTAAACATTCTATATGTACTGTACTTCCTGTGAGAGTGTTCTGCAACCAGCCACCTGCTTTGTGTTTCCAGCTGCTGAACTCGGAGCAGAGGCAGCTGATTCAGTGTGAAGTCCTCACCGAGATCGTTTACGGCGATAAAGGTCAAGTTCTTAAGTCAAAGGAGCGAAAAGTCTTCCTTCTCAACGACACCCTGATTTGTGCCAACGTCAACCTGAAGTAAGTTCCCCGATCTTCTAAACAATGTTTGTGCTTCGTGTTATCTCCAGTACAGTTTGTTGTACTGGATTCTACGTTTAGATGTTTCGGATGGGAGCTGCCATTAAAAGTCGTTTCACTTTGAGAGATGAAAATGTGGAGAGAAGTCGGCCAGATCACTGCTATGACAAAGACAGAATCAGAGTCAGAATGAACTTTATTGGCCGAGTTTGTACATTCACACAAGAAGTTTGACTCCAGTGAATCTTAGCTGTCTGTATAAGAAATAGAAGAAATGAACTAGAACAATAAAATAAAAGTAAGAGCAGTAAACAGCAGCATTTACAACACGTGTGCAAAGAAGCAGGGTTACTGGGGTAGGTGTGGTAACCTTTAAAAGCTAGACAGGAAGCTGCCCTCGCACTGGAACACAGTTTTTTCAGGTACTTGGTCGGTCGGTTGTTCGGAGGTTAGTCAGACCAGGACTTGTCAGGATAGTTCTTTGTTGTCTGACCCTGTTGTTGATGCTGAACAAAACTCTTCAGGTGCTTTAATCTGCTGGTGTTTCAGCTGATGACACATGTAGCTGCCGTCGAAGTCAGCGATGCAATTTAAGTTCATTTAATTGTTTTTGAGTTAAAAACGGGAATAATTTAGTTGTTTCATATAAATACGCCAAAAAGATTAAGAACCGCACAATAGTGAATATTGTTTAAAACCTTTCTGTGGAACAAATGTTGTTACCTCGTTGGGGTCAGGTCGTTTATTTTAGACGTGGATCAGCACGACTGCTAATGTTATGAATGCATGAGAGGACTGAAGAAGACTGAATGTTTCCTTTTGGAAGTTTATTCGGCCAACGAGGTGTAAAACTTGTGCCCATTTTCACAGTGTACTGTTGTTTGTGTTTATTACGCATTTCTTTAATTGCCATTTTCTAAATTTGTGCTCAAATTCATGTATTTATTTATTCAGTTCTCACAGCATTGACATCAGCCTTTTTGCCATGACGTCAGGATAAAATGTCTGTATGAAGCAGAACACCTTGTCATCCGTGGTTAAACTGGAGGGGAGCTGCAGAACTCGTGCACAGACTTGACTGCCTCGTTGTAAACGTTTCTAACTTGTGTGTCCACCAGGGGTCCCCCTGACATCAACAGCCTGGTTCCTGTCGGTCCCAAGTACACGGTTAAGTGGTGCATCCCTCTGCTGCAGACTCAGGTGGTGGAGGTGGGACAGGACAGTCTGCAGAGCAAGAACAGCGTCGTCATCGGCAGACGCCACAGCTCCACCTCCAGCACCTCGGGTACGTCCATGCTTCGAGGCAGCAGGTACAGAATACATCCAGTCAATACTGTCCAGCAAACCTACGTGGAACCACTGAGCCATATCGATCATGAGAGTGTTCACGGTGACTGTCAGCACATTTTTTTACATATTGCCTTGAGGCCTGGTAAGTGTTTGGACCGACACTTACATCAAGGCTAAATGCAAACTGATGAAAAAGTAATCTTAAGCTATTCGGAAATAGTGACTTCACTGAATTTTGTATTAAATTAGTGTATATTCACATGTGATGTATAGCTGGAGGAGCAAGTCCAATAGAGAAAGAAAACCCTAAAAAACTCTAATCAATATCTGGTATGAGCAAGCTTTGCCACTTTCACACAGCATCAGTGTGGCTAACCGGCTCTACAGTACCTGCTACAAACCCTGCCCACCACATTACATTTCCTCTACATATACAAGAAGTCAGGCGTTTTGGTGCAGATTTCACTTGCTGTAATTTCACCAGTTTCTCTCAGAGAATCAACCAAAGTGACTTCCGGGTTGGTTGGTGTCAACACCATTTTGATGCAAACTTTTCGAAATTGCGACTTTTTCTCAAACTGGAAGTTGCAAATCAAATGTATAATGTCCCGTATTAGTCATGCTTCATAAGAAGCCCGAACACATCTACGTGACAATACCGAGTCACAGTCAGGAAGCCTGACAGGAAGTTACAGGTACTTTACTTTTATGATCTCTGCCCAGCAGGTTGACCAGACCCACCTCACATTTGGTCAGACAACACCTTCACAGTTATATGTTGTGAAGTGTGTCGTGAATTTCAATGTTTCAATCTGAACAAACAAACGGTTGCAACTCTGCAGATCTTTGCCAAACTTCCCTTGTGCTTAAGCTGTCCTGTTCTGAATCCGTGCACTGGTTGTTACAGAGTCATGGTCATAGTTATGGTGCCATCTACTGGCAGCAAGAAGTTAATTTTTAACACACTACTCCTAACAGGATAACTGATTCCACCTGAACTCTGGTCAGCTGAGTTGCAAGACCTTGATGGTGCTCAATATAGAAGCATCTCAGTTTTCATCTAAAATGGTTGCCATGGTAACACGGTATTTTAAGAGAGAGTAAGCCATTTGTCAGGGAATAATGGGCCCTGGGCACAACAACACTGTGACAAAATGGCTTAGCAGCTTCAAAATTTTAAGAAAGTTACCCATTGTGCTACATTTTACTGACAGTACTTGTATGATGTTCGATAGTCACATGTACCAAGACTTTGGAAAAAGCCATGTAGAAGCATGTCCTAAATCCAGCAGGAAGTTGGTTCACATTTATACAGCGCTAGTTCACCACAAAGGTCCTACAAAGCATTTTACTTCATATTTCTCATTCACTCACACTCCCCCGACATGGAAAAGAACTCAGTGACAAAAGGCCGACAGAAACGAGCGCTGGCTTCTGGCCACGTCCTACATGTGGTGAGTCACACCACTCCCATGTTAACTTCATCTCTCAGCCCTGGAGGTCGCCTTCATGTTGGAGAATTCCAAGTCGAGAAACGCACGAATTAGAGTCACCAACCAAAAGACATGTTAATTCATGTCTGATTTGGTCATCAGTTTTAGTCCACTATGTCAATTATTTTCTGCTTCCATCCATCCATTATCTATACACCGCTTAATCCTCACTAGGGTCATGGGGGGCTGGAGTCTATCCCAGCCGACTTACGGCAAAGGCAGGGGACACCTGGACAGGTCGCCAGTCTATCACACTTAGAGACAGACAACCAAGCACACTCACATTCACACCTACGGACAATTTAGAACCACCAATTAACCTCAACATGTTTTTGGACCATGTGGGAGGAAGCTGGAGAACCTGGAGAGAACCCACGCTGCACGGGGAGAACATGGAGACTCCACGCAGAAAGATTCCGGTGCCCCCACCGGGACGCGAACCGACTGCGAACTTCTTGCTGCGAGGCAACAGTGCGACCAACTGCGCCACCCTGCAGCCCTATTTCCTGCTTTCTTAACTGAAATGATTTGTACCGACTCTACATAATACAACGGTATCCAGGGCAATAGCCATAGACATACGTTTCTATCAAATTATGAGCTCAGTGTAATGACTAGTACCGTCAGAACATCACACTATCCATTTGTCCCTCTCCATCTCTTTAAGAAACTGATAAAATCAGATAAGATTTGTCAAAGCTGGGTGCTAGTTTGGTATGAAGTTGAGATTTATTGCTAAATATATGATGTTTAGATGTGAAGCTGACATAGAGGCTCAATGGGACTGCCTGCGTTCCAGGTAAAGTGTTCCTGGGTCCACCCAGACTGTACCAGGAGCTGGAGGAGCTGCAGCATGACCTGGCTGTGGTGGAGGACGTATCGCTGCTGGTGGGCACGCTCAGCGGAACCTACCAGGTAGAAATGTTTATTATTCTCAGTCAGTAGGAGCTGTCGGTTCCGGTCAGAAAGCAGTGACCTCACTCCCACTATGGGGATGAACAGAATGTCTAAATAACCTTCACATGGTTTGATAATGCGTCGACTGTTGTTGCTTCTTTACAGCAGCAGTGAGTCTGAAGTCTTAAGAGAAGTCGTATCACTGCACGTTTCAAACCACTTTTTTTGTTTTGTAGTTCTGTAACCTCATGTTTTGTCACTGTTCTCTTTCTATGTGGATGTTATGTCTGTCTCATCTACTTCCCCTTTTCTTTGGTCTTCCTGCGGTGAAGCATTTTGTAACTTCCAGTCTTAAACAAAACTGTTCATACACTTGTAAAGAGTTTTCAATGACTCCTATAACTCTGAATTTTCTATTAAGGAATCACTGAAACACATGCATCTTTTCCCCAAAACGAAATCAGTCATGCATTTAGTTCTTTCAAGATTTATAGTAGGTCTTCTGGAAATATGATAAAATCGACTGGGTCAAAAATATGCGTACAGCTATGCTCATATTTGCATTAATGTCCCATTTCTTTACCATTTCTGATGTGTTTGGGGTCATTATCTTGTTGGAACACAAAACTGTGTCCAAGACCCGACTTTCTGGTGAAGGATTTTAGGTTTCCCTAAAGAATGTGAAAGTAATCCTAACTTCTTCATAATTTAATTTACTTTGTGCGAAACACTAGTTCCACTGACACCAAACCAGCCCCGGAGCATGATGCTGCCACCACCATGCTCAGTCGTAGATTTGGTGTTCTTGGAATTAAGGGTGTCACCTTTTCTCTTCCAAACATATTTCTGGTGACTTTGGCCAAATAGCTTAATTTGTTTCATTTGATCACAAGACTTTCCTCCAGAAGGCCTTTTCTTTGTCCATGTGATCAGCAGCAAGCTTCAGTCGAGCCTTAAGGTGCTGCTTCTGGACAACGAGCTTCCTTCTTGTACAGAAGCATACCAGCCAACTACTGAAATACCGTCCAAGTTGTCCTAAACCGCAGTTGTCCTTTGATGTGTGACTACGTTTAAAGCTATAAATTGTGATGCTCAAAGGGGAGAGAAACTGACATGTAGTTCTTTTTCACTTTTGTGTCTCCATGTCAGAATCTGAACACCACAGTGTCTCAGGACTGGTGTCTGGCTCTGCAGAGGCTCATCCGTCTGAAGGAGGAGGAGATCCAGAATGCCAACAAATGTCGCCTACGTCTGTCTGTTCCAACCAAACCTGACAAGTGAGGACCCTGATGTTCAGTCGTAGTCAGCTTTTACTAGGTAACGGTGTGTGAAAGTGTTCTAAATGTTCACGTCGCTTTGTTTGAAAGATCCGGCCGTCCAGTGAGCATCATGGTGGTCTTCAACACTCCCAGCCCCGTCAGTAAGATCTCCTGGGTGAACCGGCTTCACCTCGCCAAGATAGCTCAAAGTAAGTCCAGCTCTGTGTGGGTAGACATGAACAGTGGCTTAGAGTAGCTACAGGCTGTGATCCAACCCCTCAGATGTTCAGATAACATCCAATGCGGTCTGGTTTCGGAGTTGGGGTTAGTGCTTGATGGGCACCGATCTTCAGGCCGGTGGTGCTCGTCAAAGGAACAACCACAGGAGGTTCAGGATGCAAGGATCCATCATGTTCAATCATTTAAACAACACAAAGCTGTCATTAGTTTTTAAGAACTCTTGCAAAGTTTTTGTTGAGGAATGGTACAGCTTTTACATTCGGTTATTTCTCACACTTCTTTGTTCAGGAAAGGAAAACCTTTTGGGGTGGGAAGGTGCTGAGGAAGTTGGGAAGACAAAAGCTCCATTTCATTGCCCCCTGCTGACCTGCAGACTTCCTGTTTTGTCCTCCAGAACACACACACTGAAGGTGAGATGCGTCTTTATGTGTCTTTTCTACTTCTAATATTTGTCGTTTTTACAGTGTGTGAATTGTTTCAGTTCTTAATCAAGATATTTACTCACTTATGCAGCTTTCACTTGTTCATTTGTTTAGATATTAATTTAAATAATTAGTCATTTCAGCATTTTTCATACCTTTCACAGATAGCAGCAGCATTCAATATCCTCTGTAGAAACATGCGTTGGTATGACCCAGCTGTAAACGAACCGTCTCCTTCTGTTTGTCTAGTTGGACGCAGCTCTTCACAGTCCGTCTCAGTCCAGCCTCCTTGGTTTCTGCACTGCCAGTACATCGTTACCACAGGGCTACCTCTGGGTTAGTACAGCTGGCTTTTCCCCTGCTCAGAAACGTTGACATTGTTTCAGCGTTTCATGTATTCATCAGATATGTGAGTGGCTTGTTGGTGCTTCCTGTCATGTTGCATGTTGTCATATATACGTGCGCAACAAAAAAAAACCTGTAAAGAGAATTAAAAATTTAATTCGGTGACAGAGAAACAACAGAGAAGATAGCATTCTAGAAGGGATTTGACCGGACTGTTGGCCTCCACCAACATGGGATCAAGATGAGAGAGAAACAAGGACATTGAAATGGTTCGCGGTTCTACAAAGCACTTTACAAGCTTGAAAGGATGAGTTATCAAAAAATATTAAAAGCAATAGCTTTCCTGTTTGACGGCGAATTGTTGAAATTCCGATGTCCACCATTTCCACACCCTGAAAATTTTGCAAAGGGTTTTGATAACTTTCTTCCTGTTGTACGTGCTGGCTTTCTTCAAAATGGTTGACTTCCTGTTGGGTTTAGGGTATGACGTCCACTGGCTTTTTTGTGCGTCCTGACATGATACATATGACTACCAGATTTCATAGGTATACTCGAAATGTACATCCTAGTGAAATGTTGTTAGACATCACTTCCTGTCTGATGGTGAGTAGTCGAACTTCCATGGACCGCCATTTCCACACCCTCAGACTTCTGTGGAGCATTTTGATAGCTTTTAATCACCAAGTCCTTTTGTACATGCTGGCCAAATTTGATTTCTGTTGGACTTTCCCGCCTAGGAGGAGATAGATTTTGAAAATGCCTGAAAATGAGCAAAAATCACGCTGTTTTTTCAAAATGGCCGACTTCCTGTTGGGTTCAGGGTCTGGGTTCCTGGGGCTTTTTTGTGCGTCCTGACGTGATACATATGCTACCAAATTTCCTAGATCTAGGCGAAACATACTTTCGGTGGTTGAAATTTTCTAGGGGCCACCATGGAGCCATTTTGCCATTCACATGCTCAAGTCCCTTCAGTTCTTGAGCATGTTTAGGCCCCCAAAAATGCATTTGTATCATTGGGAAAATTATTTTAAGAATCAGAAGGATTCCAGTAGGTTTCTTGCATTTTCAGTGCTCACATTCTAATAAAAAATTCTACAAACAAGATCTTTATCTATCTGTCGTTTCCATCCATCCTGCAATGAATCAAATCACCTTATTTGCTCCTTTGATGTCAGGTCGCTGGCCAAGGAGGTAACTCCAGCCTAGGCCAAGTAGAGATCTTCTCCCTGAATCGATCCACGCCTCGCTTGGTCAAGACCGTCCCCCTAAGGGCCCCTGTCCTGTCTCTGGAGTACGTGAAGGAGCCTTGTTCCAGTGCAGAGGAAAAGGAGGCTGACAAGGCCCAGAGTGCCGCCAAGATCGGAAACATCATCTGTGCTGGTTTGCAGGACGGCAGGTCAGCTATTGTTCTTTAATGAGCTTCAGAGCTTTAATGCACAGACGTGAGGGTGATGTGTGACGTCCTCATTCTCAAGAAAATTTTCTTTTAGGTTTTTCTTTCATTTAATGTGTATTATTGGACTTCACGGCTCCTTGTATTTCCAGCATCCATGTGTACGGCAGCATAGACACAGCTGTTCAGTGCCTGCTGACCCTGGTGACCCCTGACGGCTGTCCGGTCCACTGCCTCAAACACTCGCTGTCTTACCTCTTTGCCGGACTGGCCAATGGCAAAGTAGCTGTGTACCACAAAAAGACTGGAGGTGAGTGCTCGTCGAAGAACACCGACCACGCTGACTACTGCTGCAGTAGCTGCTTGAGCAAGGAGTTCAGAGTAGGTGCTAAACCACTGACTTGTTCCCCTCAGAGAGGCTCTGGGATGTGGACTCGTGCCGGTTGGTGTCTGTGGGCTCGGAGCCAGTCTCCTGTCTGCTGACACTTGAAGACACCGTCTGGGCCAGCTGTGCCAACCAAGTCACTGTCATCCAAGGAGCCAACCTCCAGACACAGGTGTGCAGTTTTATCAGCAACAGGTGCACAACCAGAGGAATAGATAGTTTATCCTGTCATGCCTTTATTTGACAGCAACAGGAGAGCGAGAACGGAAATGTGGAGAAGAAAAATCAGGGAATGGGCTTGCAGCAAACTGTCAGGTCATCCAGGAAGTCTCTCCCCAGAAACTTCCCGGGGTTATGCTCCCAAACAGCTACTCGATCTGCTCCATACTGAAGAGGTTCAATTAGTCTTCATGAAGAAGTGTTGCATCAAATAGTTCCAGACTGTTTAGCATCGACACTAAAAAGGAGCTGGGAAAATACTGATTCCACTGGATTAAGTCAGCGTCAAATGATCCTCAGTAAAAATGTACTATTGCCAGTCACTTACAGTAGAGTCTCCTCTGTTAAGACTAGTTCTCTCCACCTGTAGCCTCCTCTCTGAAGCCTCACCGCTTCTTCCACCAGCTTGTAGGCCCCAGCGCTAAACTAAGCTGTCGGACCGTATTAACCCTGTCTGGGTCATAGAGGCAGTTATAGGTGGGTTACCTCTGAAGGACGTTTGACTGTTTCACATGTAATCCACAGACAGAGCAGCGAGCAGATCTGGTATGCTGCACTACACTGGTTTGAAATCAAATTAACATGCATCGCCATGTGCCAGAAAGTCACTGCTGTTGGCTTCCAGCTCAGCACTGCTGTCCTAGTTTTTTTCCGCAGAAGCTGAAAATGAATTTAGCTTGGCTAAAAATGTATTGAAATGATTTAATTAAGCCAAATATTTTATGCTGTGTCCCAGTATTGATCAGCTCAGTGTAGATTCCTTTCCCTGGTACTTTGTCATAACCTTGATATGGAGTTTCCTCTTCTGTCTGCATCACAGTGAAGGGATATTTGAACAGCATTCAGTCTGCTGTCAGCTGTTTCCGCACATTTTTGTTTCTCTGAAAGACGTGTCGGGAATTAGGGTTGCATGGGAGGCACACCAAGTCTCAAGGTCCTGGACTACTGTGAGAGCTTGACTGACAGAAAGGTGTCTCTGGAGCTAACAGGCTGCCAGAGGCGCTGTGACTGCTCTCTCTACATCTGCACACCATTGATGCAGCTCAGTCTCTGTGGGAAAGGCTTGAAAATTACACAGAGGATCGTGTTATTTTATGCACTCACTGAGGTATGTGTTCGCTCTTGTGCCTTTGTTGAACATCTGGCCTCTTTTCTACCGTTAGATGTATGAACATGCTAAATTATGAGCGTGCCCTTCAAACCGACAAGGTGTTGAGTGAATTAATGTGAAGAAAAGAAGAATAAAACACGTGGCAGAGTGAGTGAGAACGTACTGTGCAGGCTGTGGTAAGCCCACTGCAGTGTTTCAGCATCACACTGGTACTTTGCTGATGTTGTTTTTAGCAGTTTTCAAAGACATTTTCAGCTTGAAGCATGCTGTAAACTGAGCAATTATGGTGAGTGCACGACCACTTGTACGTGTTGAGACTTCATGATGCAGATCACAGAGCCGCACGGACGAAATGATTGGTAGGGTTATCCAGGTATGATGGAACACTATGGCTACACATAAAGAGTATATTGATATATTTATTTACTGTGCTACCTGTATACTCCCCATTTTTGCACATTTGTCAGACGTAAATGTTTCAGATCATCCAACTAATTTCAATATAAGACAAAGGTAACCCAAGAAAACACTGAATGCAGTTTTTGAATGATGGTTTTGTTTATATGCTGTCCAGCCCCACTTTGCCCTGTGTTTAAAAGTAATCACTCCCATAGCTACCACTCTGCTAAATGACCAAACTCAAATTCCAGTTGGGTTCAGTTTCACCAGCAGCACCCACGTATGATCACTGCCAAGCTTGTTGAATCTAAACATGACTAAATAGAACCTGTCTGGCATTTTGACGCAGCTAAAGGGTATCAAGAAGTAACACATGATGCCACGTTTTCAGGAGATTCAAGAATAGATGATCAACATAGAACCACAGTGAGACACATAATCGACTAATGGAGGAAACATGGAACAAACCTTCCCAAGAGATCGGCCGACCAACAGTTCTCCAAGAGGACATCGACATCTCATCCAAAAGAACCCAGTTGAACATCAGAATAACTGCAGGCCTCACTTGCCTCAGTTAAGGTCAGTGATTGTACAATAAGGAAGACACGGGGCAGAAATGGATCCATGGGAGGGTTACAAGACGTAAACCACTCCTGACCAAACAGAACATAAAGTCTTGTCTGGCAAAAAAGATGAGCCCCAAGACTTCTGGGAGAACATCCTGTGGACTGATGAGTCAAAGGTGGAGCTTTCTAAAGACATGAGTCCTGTTACATCTGGCGTGAAGCTAATACTGCATTCCACAAGAAGACCATGATGCCATCAGTGAAACATGGTGGTAGTGGATGGTTTCAGGACCTGTCATAATGAATGGAGCCAGAAAAATCCTCCTGGAGAAGATCCACCCATCAGTCCAATGACCCAAAGCACTCAAGCAGCTCCACCTCTGAGTGGCTCAAAAAGAGCAAAAATTAAGGTTTGAATCCAACTGAGATGTAGCAAGACCCTAGAAGGGCAGTTCATGCTCAAAAACCACCTAATGTGGCCGTACTAAAACTAGACTGGGCCAAAATTCCTCCGTGGTGATGAAAAACACGGATCACAAGCAAACATTTCACTGCAGTTGTTGCTGCCAAAGGTGGACCAACCAGTTATTAGGTTTAGGGGGCAATCACCTTTTCGGCAATTAGGTTTTTCATCAATAAAACATTGTTTAAAAACTGCATTTTCTGTTTTGTGGTAATATTCAAGAAATACAAATATTAGTTTGATGATCTGTAACATTCAAGTGTGAGAAATGTGCAAAAATAGAAGATCTGTAGGAGGCACAGCACTGTTAAAGAGATGCAACTTGAAGTTTATCTGTGTTATTTGTCGATATTAAACAGACTTTATTAGTGGTTTAGCGTTACTCAAAAGATTTCTACAAACGGTTTTATTATTGTGCTACAAAAGTTGTTCTTTAACCCTGAGAGAAGTCAGGCGAGCCACAAATAGAAGCCGACTGTAAGCAAAAGCAAATCAGCTGCACATTTTTCCTTCTGATGAATTGGAGCGTTTCTACAATCTGACGTTTCATTTTCACAAGACATCCAAGGTAACACCGAGGGCAAACCTGTGGGGGTGTGTAGACCAAGTGAGGTCTCTATCGTGTGCCTAATGTATGTGGATAACAGCAAACACAAAAACAGGAGCACAGAACAGATCTTCACTCGCTCAAATAAAACTGCTCCTTTCTTGTAAAGATAAAAGGTGTGCACAGAAAAGTGTTTAGGTCTCTCATACTGCAAAACATATGACTTCATAACACCCTCAGACATATTCTACCTGCTGATCCTCTGTGTCTGTCTGTGCTGCAGAGCTTTGAAGCCCACTCGGACCGAGGCTGCAGCGTCAGCCACATGGTGCGTTCGGGCGGAGGAGTCTGGATGGCCTTCACACGGGGCTCCTCCATTCATCTCTTCCACACGGAGACACTGGAAGCTCTGCAGGAAGTCAACATCTCGACCCGCACCGCACATCTGTCGCCAGGCAAGACGACACCCGGCATGAAACGAAGCGCGCAGCTGCTGATTTTAGTCTTTCGTTGGAGCATTTCTTTTCCAGGAAAGTCTCGCTGTAGGGCGACTGAACGCCATGTTCAGTTAGAAGCCTTCTGTCAGAACTTTAGCAGGGTAGCAGATGGAGAACAGACAGAATACGTAAGAGAGCAGTGAACGCTTTGGAGGTCGGTGAGTGCAGATCAGAGACACCTGCAGAGAGAATAAACTGTGGAAGAGAGAAGACATGAAGTTAGTTATAGGTAAGGATGGAGCCCAGTGCATCATGGGAGTCCTCCATTCATCTAAACCTACAGCACCTGAGGGACGACTTAACTGTAAGTTTTAACCCTAATCCTAAAAGTAGAGAGGAGGTCTACCACCTGAACCCAAACTGGGAGCTGATTCCACTGCAGAGGAGCCTCGTTCTACACTGTTGCCCATAAAGTTGGAATAAAATCTAATTTTTGTTCCTCTTTTTTTAATGAAACGATTGTGACAATTCAATTAATTCTCGATAGATCAAGATACATATCACAGTAAAAATTAAACCACAATTAACTTTTGCAGACTGTCTATCCAGGCTTATTGAACAATAGGATTCAGGGTTTTGTTTCCATTTTTCAACCTTTGTCAATTTAACTGGAAACACATATTCGAGGGGGTTTCATGCATTATAATGTCCAATATTACTTTCAAATGTCACTAATATTGAGTCCGGCCACCCCTGACACAGACAATGCATTAAGACATGGTGGCATTCTGTCCACCAGCTTGTTGATGGTGTCAGTGGGCAGGACGTCCCACTCTTCAGTCAGAACTGGTTTCAATTGGGTAGCTGGGACTCAGTATCATTGCACCTGGTCAGAAGTGATTACTGATGTGTGTAAATACAAATAAGAAGAGGAATGAAAAATACTACAACTTTATGGGCAGCAGTCTACTTCTGGAAACTCTGGGGACCACCAATAAACCTGCAGCCTGAGAGTGAAGGGCTCTGTTCGGATGATACGGTGCAATGAAGTCTTTAAGATAAGATGGTCATTAAGGGTTTTATATGTGTGAGAAGCAGGGTCTTAAATTCTATCCTGGATTTTATAAAGAGCCAATGAAGAGAAGCTGATGTAGTGGCTGCAGCATTTTGTATCAGCTTGAGGTTTTTAAGAGAATTATTGTGACGTCATGATAATAAGGAATTACAATAGTGTAGTTTTTAAGCAGGTGTTCCTGATTCTGATGATATTGTCTGTTTTCCAGGTCAGGTTTGTGTCTCCAGTTTGCTGATCTGCCAGGGCCTGCTGTGGGTGGGTACCAGCCAGGGCGTTATCCTCACTTTCCCCGTGCCCACCCTGGAAGGCATCCCCAAGATCACAGGTCGGTACCAGTGACAGCGTCTGCTCACCTCCTGACCGCTGCATGTTCTATGTGGGAGTGAATGTGCTCAAAGGCTTCAAGGCCTCACCTGTTTTTATTATGAACACATGCCAAAAGCAACCTCAAGCTAAATTTGAAAGCTGATTGCTAAATAAGAATCATTGGGTAACTGTAGAGTTCATAATGTCAGCAGTCAGTTATTCATTTCTATAATTGATCGATAACTCAACTGTCAAAATAAAAAAATGGTTGTAGCTCTACTTCCAAACATCTGCTAGTTAATCAGAGAGTGTCGGAAAAAATATTAATATGGAGATATAATATAGATATAATAATCTATGTCGCAGTTTGCACTAAGCACAACTATGTTGTGGACATTTATCCTGTTTTTCCTGAAACAGATCATTTACAGTTGAAACCAGAAGTTTTACTTACACTGTATTAACCACACTGTCACTGTCTGACATTAGATCAGACTTAACGTTTCCTTTTAGGTCAGTTAGGATTACCTAAATTATCTCTATTTCCTAAACAACAGAATAATGAGAGAGATTTTTTAGAGAATTTTTTTTATGACTGTCTTCAAAGTCAGAAGTTTCCATCCATCTCCTCAGTATTTGGTAGCGTTGCCTTTAAACTGCATGACTTGGGTCAAACGTTCTGAGTTTCCTTCCACAAGCTTCTCACTATAGTTTGATGAGTTCTGGCCCGTTCCTCCTGACAGAACTGGTGGAACATGAGTTCTCTTCCTGATATCTTGGCTGGTTTCTTTAGATTTTCCATGCTGTCACAAAAGGAAGCAGTGTGTTTGAGGTGTACCTCCAATTAACTCAAATGTTGTCAATTAACCAATCAAAAGCTTCCAAAGCCATGACATCATCATCTGGGCTTTCCCAAATAGTTTGAAGGCATCTTCGTAAGTAGAAAGTAATAAAAAATTCTCTCTCTCATTATTCTGGCGTTTAGCAAATCCTAAGTGACCTAAAACAGGAAGAGTTTAGTCTGATTTCATGTCAGACAGTTAGAAAAAAAGGTTTTATATCTTTTTATACAGTGGATGTAAACTTCTGGTTTCAGCTGTACTTCCTCCTGTCTGTTGCTGTGGGAGATTCGGTGGATTCATGAAGAACTGTTTTGCCCCTCAGGTAAAGGGATGACGTCTCTGAATGCTCACTGTGGTCCGGTGGACTTCCTGGTGTCGGCCTCCAGCACTCTGGCCTCTGATTTGCTTCGGCGGAATTCCATCCTCAACGGCAGGGAGGAGGGCGCTGACAGAGGAACGGTGCTGGATGATGTCAGAGGAGATGAAGAAGGGCGGAGGTTGGAGAGGAGCATCTGTCTGCGGGACTCTGAAGCTCCTCCATCCGTGGAGGAGAAGCCCAGAGGACTGCTGCTGCAGTACCGCCTCCACTCTACCTGCAAGCTGCCTGGGAAGCTGCTGACAGCGCAGCCAGAACTCGCGCACCTGAAAGCTCCTAATGAGTCCCTGGAGCACAGCCTGGAGGACGGCTCCATCTACGAAGTGAGCGAGGACCCCGACGTGTGGGTGAGGGGGCGACCGGTGGACCGGGGGAAGGAAGGGGAGGCGAGGCGCAGTAAAGTGACCTCGACAGCTATATTCTCCGGTGGACGAGGATACCGCAGGATAGGACAGCCGGCCTCGACAGACACCTGCTCGGACGCCACTGGAAACACTCTGCTGGTGTGGCAGCTCCCTCTGACGCTCAGCCAATGACAGAGAAGGTTTAGACGAGTCAAGGACAGCCATAGTTCTTCTGGTTTTTCGCTTTATTTCGGTGGCGTGATGTTGAACACCGTAAACAAGCTGACATAAAGGTAACATTACCTGAGAGGCCCACCAACAGAGTCAGCAGCTACCTCCAGTAACGTTAAACATCAGGAAGACCAACGCTCTTCAGCTCTTTGTACAGATGTTTCCACACATAATGACTTGTACCTGTACCAAGTTTTTACATTGCATGCCAGACTGTGAAGGCTCGAAAGCTTTTTAACCTGTGTTACCGTAGAAACATGGCATGTATTATTATTATTATTACAATATGCAGTTGTGAACAAAGGTGTACATACACTAGTATAGACCATGATTATCATTGTAGTCTTGAATTTCCAATCACTCCTATAACTCTTCGTTTTCTGTGACAGAATGACTGAAGTGCATTTTATTTCTTTCATAAATTTATTTTATGGTTTTCTGGAAATATGACAAACTTTGCTGGGTCAAACGTATACACACAGCAATGCTAATATGTGGTGAAGTGTCCCGTGGATATTTTCACCGTGATTGAGGCACTTTTGTTTGCTGTCCACAAGCGTTTGGCCACTCCTCCTGACATAACTGTAGCAGTTCAACTACATTTGGTGTCTTTCCGACTCGTTTCTTCAGCACAGTCCACGAGTTGGCAATGGGCTTTAAGTCAGAACTTTGGGGAGACCAGTCTAGAACCTTAATTCCAACCTCATTTATTCATGTCTTTACCACTTTAATGTGTGTTTGGGGTCTCTGTCTTGTTGGAACACACAACTGCTTTCAAGATCCAACCTTCTGGCTGATGGTTTTAGGTTTTCCTTCGTTATTACATTTACTTTGTGTAAAACTACAGTTCCATTGGCACCAAAACAGCCCCAGAGCATGATGTTGCCACCACCATGCTTGACGGTAGGTTTGATGTTTTTGGAATTAAAGGCCTCACACTTCCTTCTTCATCCGCCTCTCAGCTCATGTTGATGTAAAACCCTGTGAACACTCACAGCTGTGATCCAGCAGCTTCTCAGAGCTGCTTTCTGCTGATTCCTGGTTGACTCTTGACCGTCCTGACCAATCGTCTCTCAGCAGCAGGTGGTAGTTTGTGTTTTCTTCCTGATCGTGACACAGTTGTTTGCACAGATGATTTTGTGATCTGTCGCTGCTTTGAAATGGCTCCAAGTGATCACGTGTTAATGATTTGCTTCCTCAGATCTTTGCTGAACTCCCAGTTGTACTGCTTATGGCAGAGTGTGAGGAGTGTTTCAAATGGGCCCTAATTCAATTAGCTCAAAGAAGTCAGCAGCTGTAGTCAACTACAATCACTCAAGAAGGTAAATGGTCTCACCACTAAGGAAAGGTGATGAACACAGCTTTGTACATCACCAGAACTGATCATTCAAGATGCCGTACGTATACTTTTGACCCGACAGATTTTGTATATTTCCAGAAGACCTTTAAGAAATTTGTGAAAGAACCAAAATGCATTTTTTCTGACAAATTCCATCGTAGAAAATGAAGAGTTCCAGGAATTATTAGTACCTCAAGACTGCTGTGACATACATAATCTAGGTACAGAGCTGGACCTCCCAACTAGTCCCGCATGTAAAACCACAAATTGTTGTTTGTGTATAGATTAAACTATTAAGATTTACTGTATAAAGTGTAAACTGCAATATCTGTATATAAAACCTGGAGCCAGACCAACACTTGTGCTGGTAGACAAACTGTAGGTACATTTCAATATTACACCAAATACAATGTTCGAATGTGCTCAGCTAAAATTTAACTGATCATTTATTCATTTTAAGAATCTGTGTGAAGTCAGTTTTTATAGAAATTGCATGACGATGTTTATTGACAATCACGTAAATCTACCTAATGTACGCTACGTCAGGCATCTTAACATTGACATGTTTTTTGTTGTTGTTTTTTTAATCGTGGTCTTACTTTGTGTGACAGAGAGCTGTAATGGTAATTACAGTGATGTTTAAAGGCTCTCGTTGCCTTTGCCAAGAAAGTTGTTATTAGAACCATTCGTATGTCTGTGAGCAGCATGTTGCAGAACTTACCAGATCTTCATGAAGGCTGGTGTTGAGGCGGGCCATGGGATAGACCCATTCGGATTTGTTTTTGCACATTGAGCACTATAGCGCCACCAATGGGTCGAATCTGGAGAACTGAACTGTATATCTCAAGACTCACAAAATTTATCACATGGATTGTTGATCTCGGCGGTGAAGCAGCCAAACAGGAAGTGAGGTCGTATCCCAGCAACACTTCGATGAATCCAAACCAAACTTCGTACAGTTTAACTTTAGAGGGTACTGCTAGAAGTGAAAACACTCCCAGCTTTAGTTTTTGTGTGACTCAAGTGACAGAGCAAGTTTTCCACCAATCGCCAGGACGTCTTTCAGTTTTAGCCACCATTGGTTCCGTGAATGTGTGTGAAGGGGTGAATGGTAAAGCACCGCTCACGTAGAAAAGCGCTGTATAAGTGCAGACCATTTCCTATTGACTTTGCAAACTCTGTGGTTTCTGGTGCAGTGTTTCCTCACAGCTGCTGCTATTTGTGTTGTGAGGAAGATGCTGTGATGTCGTCATAATGGTTGTCAATGAAAGAAAATGTCACAACATTACCAAAATAAAGTCACAAGAGTAAAAACTTTTTCTATGAAAAGGAACAGTGTAGGATTAATTTCACACCACAAACTGTGGGACGAGCGATAAGAGACAGAACGTCAGCTTCAGCTCACATCATCCAAACGGTTCTGGTGTCAGTCAGCACCACAACACTGGACTGTGAGGAAAGAAATCATGGCTTCTGATAGGAAGAAGCTTAAAACACAAAGGGCGAGTGTTGGAGGCAAAGATGGAGGAGAGAGGGAGAGGAAGAGAGAGAGAGAGAGAAGGAAGGGGGAAAGAGGGAGAAGCAGAGAGACAGAGGAAGAGGAGAGAGAGGGGAGACGGGGAGAGGGAGGTAGAGGAAGAGAGATTAAGATAGAGATGGGAGACAGAGGGGGGAGACAGAGGGAGGTAGAGGAAGAGAGAGAAAGGAGGAGGGAGAGGGAGAAGGAGAGAGAGGAAGAGAGAGAGAGACAGGAAGATTGAAGGGAGACAGAGGGAGAGGAGAGAGAGGGGAGACGGGGGGAGAGGTAGAGGAAGAGAGAGAAAGGAGGGAAGAGAGGGAGAAGGAGAGAGGGAGGAAGATAGAGAGGGGAGACAGAGGGAGAGAGTGAGGTAGAGGAAGAGAGGAGAGAGGGGGAAGAGAGGAAGGAAGGGGGAGAGAGAGAGGAAGAGAGAAAGCGAGAGAGGGGAAGAGAATTAGGAAGGGGGTGAGCGAGGAAAAAAAGGGGAGAGAGGGAGAGAGAGCAAGATAGAGGAAGAGAGAAAGCAAAAGAGAAGGGGGAAACGGGGGAGAGGGAGAAAAAGACAACATAAGTGAGGGAGAGAGAGAGAAAAAGAGAAAGCAAGAGAGGAAAATGGGGGAGAGAGAGAGGGAGTGAGAGAAAAGGGGGGGAGACAGAGGAAAACAGAGGGGGGAGAGATGGGGAAAGAGGAAGAGAGGGGGAGAGAGCAAGAGAGAGGAAAAGAGAGGGGGAGAGAGAGTGAAGCAAGAGAGAGATAGAGGGGGAGAAAAGAGAGAGGAAGGTGGGGGAGAGAGAGAGAGGAGGGTGGGGTAGAGAGAGAGGAAAAGAGAAAGTGAGAGAGAAAAACAGAGGGGGGAGAGAGAGAGTGACAGAGAGCGTCTCTAATCCTCAGACTATAATCGTAGCGGCAGGACGAAGCGTTCTCAGAGTGAATCCTCAGAGTGCATCCAGGAGGAGACGGAGATGAAAGGCCTCCGTCATCCTTGGCTCTGGTAGCAGAGAACCTCCGTCTGAGAGCAGCACCAGAAGGATGACCGGCCGCCTGCCCCTCTGCTGCCTCCTCCTGCTCTCTGCTCACACGCTCAGCCTCACAGCCGGTATGTAGACCAGCCACAGCACTGGATATGTCAGGAGAGACAAAACTTTACGCTGCCTCTCCACTAGTTAGTGGCTGCAGGTGAAGGTGAGCTCGCCTTCTGGTTCTTTGTCTGATGCTGCTGGTGTTTGCTTCAGGTAAACATCGCTGGTTTTTTTTATCTTTTGTTTCTAATGCTGATTATAATTCATACAAGTTTTAGTCACTCCATCGTTTCTAGTGGATCTATTTGACTAAATGGTTTTTGAATGTTTTGAGCAGCAGTTGTAGAGAGAGGCTTTAAACTTGCTTGAATCGGGGTAACCAATCCCACTGAACTGGCTTTATTGTAAGATCCTCACGTTGTTTGGTCCAAGGATGAAAAACCAATAACAGAAAAGAGACAGCTGCCTCCAGAGATCCAGGTTCACTGTGTGACAGCTGGTCCTTTGTAATCCCATAATTAAGTGTGAATAAGCTCGTAAATGTGCACGATGAAATATTAGGTCTCACGCCACCTAAAGACAGCTGTGTTTAATCAAATTCCCACAAACTGCGGTCATAGTGGATGATTTTGCGAGACAAGATTTATGAACAGTGATGATATTCAGTACCAGCGCAAGAAGTAAGAAGTCAGGTGGACAGAGAGGGTCGGGATGCTGGATGCAGAAGGATGACTGTAATGCTATGCTATGTTGACAAAAGTATTGGGACACCCCCTTCAAACAATTGAATTCAGGTGTTCCAATTACTTCCACGGCCGCAGGTAGAGAACCGAGCGCCGAGACATTCAGGCCACCTCCTTGAGACCAGATTAGATTTGCTCAAAAACAGTGGGTTTCATGGAATGGGTTTCTCCTGCATCCACGCCTTATTTCACTGAGTTCAGCACAAAGCGTTGGATGTGGTGGTGTAAAGCACGCCAACACTGGACTCTAGAGCAACTGTTCTCTGGAGTGACGAATCACGCCTCCCTGTCTGGCAATCTGATGGACGAGTCTGGGTTTGGCAGTTACCAGGAGAATGGTACTTGCCGGACTGCACTGTGCCAAGTGATGGAGGGGGGATTATGTCTTCCAGGAGTTGGGCTTGACCCCTTAGTTCCAATCAAAGCAACTCTTAATGTTTCAGCATACCAAGACATTTTGGACAACTTCATGAGCCCAACTTTGCGAGAACCGTTTGGGGACGGCAACTTCCTGTTCCAACGCGACGACGCACCACTGCACAAAGCAAGGTCAACGAAGACATGGATGTGCGAGTTTGGTTTGGAGGAACTTGACTTGACCTCGACCTGAACACCATTGTGATGAATTAGAGACTGAGAGCCAGGCCATCCAACATCAGTGCCTGACCTCACAAATGTACTTCTGGAAGAACGGTCAACAGTTCCCATAAACACACTCCTGAACCTTGTGGAAAAC